CAGTGGACTTTGGCGCGTTAGCGATCGCGCGTGCGTGAGTCACTACACGAAAACTCACAGATGGCCACAATCTTGAGAAGGTGAAGATACACGTCGTTGGTGTCTACAAAGTGTCCAAAAAACCTTGGGGGAAGACACACCAACGACGCACTTTGACGAACTGAGAACCACGCCAAATTATTGACGGCGGTCAAACACAGTTGTAAACTGTTGCATGTGTTCCTAGGAGGTGGGCTTGGCAACCAGGAGGTCGTCAACATGGGCGTAGACGAAGGGAGGTCCAGTAAACTCTTAGCAGCATTGCGAAGTCCAAAGGACCTACACCGGAACTCAAAAAGGCCAAAGAGGCTGGTGATTACCATATTAGCAACGTTATCCGGGGTTGTGGGCATCTGGTGGAAGAGATGGTCCGGGTCAATCCTTGAAAACACAAATTTTCCAAATAGGGTATCGGCAAAACTCAGAAGATGCGAAACAGGGTAGCCGTACGGAATGGTGCCATTTTTAGGCCGTTTGGTCGATGTAGATGCGCCAACCACCAATAGCGGCATTGGGAACCATGTGAAGGGATGATACCAATGAACTGTCAGATTAATGGACGATTCCCTTCCGAAACTTGTGCATCATTTCGCCCTGGACTGCACTAATGTGTGTATGCACGAGGCAGGGGGCCGAGGAACATTGGTAAACTATTGGTTTGGATGTGGTGAATGAAATCGTATGGTGGGATAAAAACTGAAAATCGGACGGATGAAGCCATGGTATTTGGCGAGAAGCTGTCGAAATAAACTATGTGGATCAGGATTAACCATGGCCATTTTATGGAACACCTCAAACGGGGGAGTTTCTCGGACGGGTACATTGGTGTTCTGGTCGTGTAAAGGGGGATGAGGGCAGTCGACCAGCAGATGAAAGGCAACTAGAAGGTCTCCCACAGGAAGGGCACAAGGCACGTCAGCAACGAAAAAGACTCAAAAAGAGACACTAAAAGCTAATGTCCAGTGAGATGGAATAGGTACCCGGGAGGAAGAAGTCGGAGTAAAAGTCTAATTCTGTTCACCAAACAGCTTATTTAAATAACCGCGATAACTAAAACGGCCCAACAGTGCCCAATCGGACACAATCGACAACTCTGTATAAACTCTATATTGTCTCCATATAATGTCTATATCAGCTCTATGTAATCCGCATATTAACTCAATATAAACTCTATAGAGATAACATAGAGTCAACATTTGTTTCCAATTGGGCACTATTGAGCCATTTTAACTATCGCACGCAAATAATTGATTATTTAATTGAGCTCTTTGATGAGCCAAATTGAACTGTCCCGAGTGTGTACACTGTAGTAAACTGTGGGGGTATAACTGAATGTTTAAATGAAAGGATATGCACCAGGTGCTTTGGAGACAAAAACACTGAGTCCAACTCATTATGTCTTCCTTCGTGCAGACAACGGTCAACTGGCAGAACTAATCAGTCATCCAATACTGCGATTGAACACACGTGGTCAGCAGACACGAAGCGTCCGTCTGTGCGTGCAACACATAGCAGACTACAGTCAAAGACTCTCGTATTCATCATTGAGGGTCATGATGAATGCGATAGTGCATTAGCAATCCGCGTCAGAGTCATAAATTGGCGACCTGAGGCCGAAATACTCGCAAGAGGGGACAACCGTGTTAGCCGCAAGTTGCTCGCATCAACATTCTTAGTCCTGTCGTTCATCAACGGGCACAATGACTGTTTTTTTACGGAAAAGTTGCTTAAGTAAGCGAATCAGTCAGGTGGGGTAGTGCGGGTGACCAACAATTTCGATGCTAGCAAGCCAAATTGCGGCTTAATTATCACGCCAACATCCAACACGACTGATAACAATTACGGCCATTATAACTTGAAGACTGACTATCAAGCTATAATTGCATTAATCATGACACCCTAACGGTTATCAGTTGAGCTGTTAATTTTAGTCAGCATGTAGATACGTGTCTTCTGCTGACTATAAATAATGCGTACTTCGAGCTTCTATCACTCTTCCCTGCTAACGGCTCTGACGGCATATTCGACCAAGAAACCAAAACAACAGACCAATAAGCGTCTTTCTCAAGCTAAAGTATGTTCTTCTTTTTAATCAGAAAGGGTGTGGTTTGGGCTGCGTTGATTTATCGCCGCACCAGCCACCTGCGGCCGATCCCGCCTCCGATTTTCTTGAATCTTTCCTGACACCGAGCTAGGGTATGTGAGAAAAGAGCGAGAGTGCGAAAGATGCTACAAAAGTCTACTATCACTTAAATCGTCCCTGTAACATGCTATTGTGGAGCATACGGTAGACGCAATCGAAATCAATGTGCTGTGCGCGTTTCTGTCCCTTTAACCGGCCGCATGATAGTTATGCTGGACCAACATGGGGCCGATTAGGGTACGGCAGGCGTTCTTCGGTTCGTGCGCCGATAACAAATGCGGAACATTGGAGGGGATCATGGTGACTCGCATAGGGGCGTCTTTGGCCGCCCCAGCCATGTACGCCCGATCCGGCCTTCGGTCTTTTGGATTCTGTCTTGAAACTGGACACAGGTAGTTGAGAAAATAGTAAGTGGCACTCTCAAGTTTGCAAAGGTAAGAATTCCGGGCTTAGAATTATGGAAATTTTTTGCCCACCGGAATGTGTTTCTTTGTCCGTTGACGTTTCGGACAAATGGGCCGAACCTGTCGGAATAGGCATAGCCCATCGACCTCAGGTGACAATACGCCGCCAAGTTATGGAACATAAAGACAGAATGCCCCCTACTGAAACCTCCGCAGTTGTCTAAAAATGCGTTGCAACGATAGAGACTGCTGTTACGTTGGAGAACCAGGATGCAAATTGCAGACCCGCCTACACCAACGTAAAGCGGAGACCCAGAGACTTGATTCAAACTCACAGCTTGCAACCCATATCGGAGAGATCGGCTACAAATTCTATATTCAAGGGGCGACCATTGTAGGCCGGGGAACCTCAAAAGCGGAAAGACTGACGCTTGAGACATGGTTTTCAGACGCCAACTCCATGAACAGGTATCTGGACCTCCCGTGGCCTACAAAGTCTTACGCCATTACGTGAGTAAAGGGCAGGACCAGGTCAAACCGACGTTATGGTTTGCAAACAAAGGCGGCTCCGTGGTGAAACCACCGGAAAAGCAAGCAGGAATACCAGCACCCTCTACCTTGGGGACGCAACACAACACTACTTGCCGTCACGTTATGCAAAAATTCACACGGAGGGCCAAGTAGTGAGCGTAGAGGAATCGATCAGCCCATGGCCAACACACGCAGCCACAACTTTGAATTGCTGATCGTAAAGTCAGTTCACTCTTTGACAAAGGACAGCCGGCCCAGCTGTCTGAAACGTCAGCGAACAAAGAGTGACACTCGTTGATTAAAGTTCACCGCTCGGAAAGAGAACTCACTCGTTAACGCACATTCTCGAGCACTGTCTGCAGCTGCACATCGGCTATTGGTCTAGGCAGACAGCAGGGCTGGCAAGGGCGAATGGATTGGCCGTTTCTGGTTCATTAAGCGTCATCAACCAGCCAAAAGCAACCCCAAGTGGTGTCCCATCGGTGGCTCGAATAGCAAGACATTGATCCCGTCGCTCCGTGATTAGATAGTTAGACGTCCGATCAAAAGATTGTGGTTTGAACCTCGGGTGGAACATAACTTGGGGTTAAGTATGCCTGGTAGATGCAGGCTTATGGGTCACAAATGACCATTACAGTCTCCCTTGTCTTTCCCGGCAGTGGTATCCGCAAAAGAGAATGTCAGTAGAGGTAAATATGCGAGTTCCGGGAAGCAGTTCAGAAGAAGGAGATGCGCCCACTGGGACAAGAGTTTTATTGTCCTGACTTTTCAGATTCCGTCGGGAATCCTTAATCGTATGTAATGATACCATAGTCATAGTCACGAGCAGATAGGGTTTAAATATGCACAGGTTGCACGATTTTTATAGTTCATAGTGGTCATCTGCGTGCGTACGATAATTATTCGCTTCACTATGCAAGTCCTGAACTACAACAGCAACCACCCGATCGGTCACAAACGCAGCTGCGTAAGAGGGCTATACCGGCGCGTTGAGACGCATTGCAACGAAGCGGAAGACAAAGTTGCTGAGTTACCACATATCCGACGGCTGCTGAGAGCGAATGGTTACCCGTGCAACCTTGCCAACCAATGCATACGCAAACGAGGGAAGAAGCAACATCCAACTGGTCCAAAAGTTTGGCGAGCTCTTCCGTACATGAAGAATGTATCGGAAGCGGTCAGTCGTCTACTAACCCCAATTGGAATAAGAGTTGCGCACAGGCCAGAAGCAAACATCAGGCACCGGGTCATGAGACCGAAAGACCCACTGCCACGGCAGTAAACGGCTGGAGTCACGTACCAGATCTGGTGCAGTTGTGGACAAAGCAATTACGTCGGAGAAACCGGAAGATTACTCTCGACGCGAATGGCCGAGCATGCAGCGGCGGTGAGGATCAAAA